TAAGAAGTATTATTAAATATATAATATTTTTTATATTTTATTGCTTGAGCCTTGGCACGGTAAAATTAATATAAAGGCTATGCCTAATTTAAAAGAAGATAAAAAATAAGAAATTAATAATATTATTAGCCATAACTTTATTAAAAATAAAGACTTATACCTAGTAAAATAAAAAGAATAGCCTTTAAAATATAATTAATAGGTTTTTATTAAAAATATAAATGTATTAAATCTTATTTAAAAATATAAAAAAAGGCAAGCGCAGCAAGATAGTTATTTATTATTTAATTAAAAATAAAAACAGGACCTAATTTTAAGTTAAAATATGCCTAATATACTTAAATAAGAAAGACCTTAATAAGATACTACCTAAAAATTATTATTTTAGCCTTAAACTACAAGCAACTATAAAAAACTATAAACCTAAAAAGTAGTAAGCGCCAAAGCAAAAAAAAAAAATAAAGTATTATTAAGGGAATAAGGCCCTAATATTACCAAGCTATTGCCTGGCATAATTAAACTAAAAAATAATAAAAATAAATAACCAAGGCGTTAAAAAGGCACTAAAAATAAAATAAAATACTAATTTTAAAAAAGTAAGAAGATAAAAAAACGCTGTTACTAACACTAAATATATAATAAACCTGGCTAAATGCCCTTAATAATAATAGGAAACTTTATTTTAATATAAGCAAGTTTAGCGTTAAAATTTAGAGTATTAATAAAATAAGCCTAATAAGCAAGCTTAACTTTTTTTTAAAATTAAAATTTAATAATAAACTACTAGACGTGGCCTAAATTACCAAAAAAAAAATAAAGGTATAATTATAAAACTTTAGTATTATTTTTTATATTAGTAATAAAGGAATTTATAAGCTGGATGGTGGGAAGTAGGGCGTGATATAATAGTACTTTTATATAGTATTAAAGGTTTAACTTTTACTAGTTCTTTTTTACCTTGCTTAAAAGGGAGAATTTTTTTTAATAAGCTTTTTTTATATTTTTAAAGGCTTTTAGTAATTAGATTATTATAAAGTAAACTTGGAAAATAAATTCCTGGCCCTATTAATACTTTTTATTTTTTAAAAAAAGCTTTACCCCTTTGTTGTTAGTCCGCGGGTAAAAAGAATAATAGTATTTAATAAAAAGTTGTAAATTATAAATATTTCTTGTTATTATTACTTTAACCTAAGGAATATAATAAATTAGCCATAAAATATAAAAAAAAAAATATTAAAAACTTACCGGCTTGCAAGTTTTATTATAGTAAAAATAAGTTTTATATAAAATTAATATAATAATATTAAATTTATAATTAAACTAAAATAACATGTTACTATTATTTAGATTACTAGCTTTTAGTATGGATTAAAAGTATATTAGGCACTATAATACTATTAAATAAACAGGCACACGTAATAAAACCCTGTAGGTTTTATTAGCTTTTTTACCCTTTTTAGGCTTTTTTTTTTTT